TGAATAAAATCAAGAAACAAATAAAAAAAATCAAGAATGAAGAACAAAATTCTTGAATAAAAGAAAATGCAAGAACTTAAAGATGGTGGATTCAATTATAGATATGGGTAATCTAAAATTGAATCCACTTTTTAGAAAAGGATGATCCCCTAGAGGGTTCTAGCCTAAAGGTGAATCAAACAAAATAAAAATAAACAAAAAAAACTAAACCCAAAAGGGTTCTAGCCTCAAGGTGAATAGTATAAAAAAATTAAAATCTAACTACAAAATAAATTGCAAAATCTAAACTACAAAATAAAATTGCAAGAATTAAATGCAAGAAAATAAATCTACTCTATAAGCATGAAATAAATCTAAGGCAAGAGGGTTCTAGCCTCTTGGCTATTTAACAAGAAAATAAAATCTAACTACAAACATAGAAATAAATCTAAACTAATAAGCAATAAAAGAGAAAAAGAAAAGAAATGCAAACCTTCAAATAATTCTTCATCTTCATCTTCATCTTCATCATCCAACAAAGAGAAGAAGAAAAAATTTAAAGTGGTGAAAAAATTATTATTATTAATTACAACAAAAAGTTACAATTTTAGAAGGCCTTCTCAATTAAGAGTAGCCCTCCTCTCCAAAAGGAGTTACAAAAATTTTCACACCCTTAACCCCTCACTCTCTACCCCTATTTATAGTAATCTTCAATGAATATGAGCCATTGGATTTGTCTTGTGTGACGCCCCTGGGTTCACACAAGGCTGCAGTCCAAGGTGAAACCAAGAATGTCAAACCTGCCATGCACCACACCGTACAATAACATGTTTCACCATCACAATTAACATCTATCTAGTAGAATCAACAATAGGTGTAGGTACAAAAGCAAGTAAAAGATAGTGCAAGAAGTAACTGATGAAGTGATAGTGATCACATTAATATCTCATCATCCAACATACAGAAATACATAGTCAATATCTGAATAGATAACTGAAATACTCAACAAGTCTCAAATACAAATATCCGACAAGAGGAAATAAGGCACACAGCCTTTATAACTTCTAGAATAAGACTCTCAAATGTCTAAACAAAACTACAGTGGAGCTCCAAAATAAAACATAGCTAAAATAGACAGCTAAACACTAAGGTGTGTCACCATCAACCTGCGACTCTCCGGGCTCCTGGCTCATTACCTGAAAGGGGGAGGGACAACGAGCGTCAAAGCGCTAGCGAGCAACATCACAACCAACCCTAAGGGAATAGGGCTCGTTGTATAAGAAAATACAGTTAATACATAATAGATCTAAAATCATTGATCTTACTAAAGAGGATTTTAGTATTTAGAAATTTACAATACGAGCATAGATACGTCGAGCAAAATAATCCAAACAAGGAAACCCTCATGTATATACCTTGTATCTCAAATTGTAAATCCCTAAACACTAAACCCGAGGTTCTAGTACAGGAAACAACAATAAAAGAAATACAACTAATCTCAGAGCATAAATACAGTGCCCTATCATAACTTACATGAGTATCATGTTACAACTTACATGTATGTCATGTTATAATCTACATAAGTGTCATGTCATAAACTCCTATGAGGAAGTCATATACAGGGTTAAGAAATATGTCCGATATAGGGACTAAATACTGTGGTTTCCAAACACATGGAATAAGTGGTAATTTGTCCAACACGAGGACTGAAATGGATTATAGTCCAACACGAGGACTTCTGTGGATTATAGTCCAACACGAGGACTGAGAAACTGTGAAAAGTATATGCAGACAGATATACATAATCTAAACTCGCCCGCATCTCGGTGTACATGTCTAAACTTGTGTCAAAAGTCAACCCACATGTACAGATAAATCATTAACATGGTAAACTAGGGTCAGGGTATCGAGGCGACCCCGAAAAGCAACTCAAACAGATCAAAAATCTGTAAAAACAGCTCATCAGTCGACTGATGTGTCGACTGATGACGTCAGTTGACTTATATGTCGACTGATAAGGCTCAGGCAGCATAGCCTCAGCTCACCAGTCGACTGACCAGTCGACTGAGAAGCTGAGAAAACAAAATCAGCCCGTCAGTCGACTGATGGCTGAAAATTTGCCCGTCGGTCGACTGACCAGTCGACCGATAGACTGCAGATAATCTGCACAGGTTATTTTTCACCCAAAATTCGATCTAAACTCATCCCCATCAATCCCAAGCATGGAAATACCGATATTAACATGTATGAGCTAAACTGAAACAAAGATTTCATGTGTGAATACATAAACAAAACTTTAAACATGTGTATTTATGTTTTAAAACATCTTTAAAACAAAACTCATGTTAAATCTCTTATAAAAACATTTCAGATCTAGATCTTCGATTCACAAAACGTTGGTGGGTTTTTAATATTCTGAAATCACATATCTTCCCACTATATGTTATAAAAAATTAATTCTTTATACAAAAATTACATTTTTGGCTCATCAAAACTCACAAAAACTCTTTGAAAACGTTTAGAAAATTAGGGCAAGGTTGGGCGAGATGTTACTCGCCTCTGGGGTGATGAGAAGCTCCTGGATCTGAGAGAGAAAGGTTCCCCTTCGCTGCAACGTGAAGATTTCGCCGAAATCCCTCCAAGTTCTTCCCCAAATCACCAAGAACAAGGCTAGGGTTTTTGAGATAGGGGAGAGGGGCTAGGGTTTTCTCAGATCTGAAGATTTTTCTCAGTTCTGAAGTTCTAAGGGGTGAATTCGGGTGAGAAAGAATATATGTGAACTGCTAAACCCGACCCAAACCCGAACCAAAACAAAACAGACCTGAAACCTGAAAAACTGAAAATCAGTGTATCAGTCGACTGATGTGTCGACCGATACAGTCAGTCGACTGATATGTCGACTGATCTGGAAAAATTTAGTTTTTGTGCATGTCTTGCTTATTTGCAAAACCAACGCACAAAACTCTACACCCATACTCTCATATCATCTCAAATAACTTGTTATCATGCACATCAATGACCTCAAGCTATTTATCATAAAAGAATTATTTATTTACTAATAATTCATATATATTCATATAAAAATTTTCGGGGTTCTACATCTTGAGCCCCAAGCAATAATCTCCACATTTGAATTTGCTTTTTGTTCTTCTCTAGCCCAAACATAGGAGGCCCAATTGATTTTCAAAAATAATTGAAAATCAAGTCCGGTCCAAAAATTCAATGCAACACTCAAGATTAAAAGCCAAGTCCAATGTAAAATGCCCACACAATGATTTTCAAATCAAAGTTTGCAACCCAAATCCATGGCATTTGATTTTCGGAATTAAAATCCAACTCTCAAATTTCGGCCCATAGATGTTTGCAGCAAATCAAATTCCATTCATTTATTTTAGCACAATTTTCTTGTGAAAATCCAAGTTGCAGCACACAAGCAAATCCGGCCCATTTGATCTTAAAAATGAAACTTTAATCTCCAGCCAAGCAAGTCCAAAGTCCGGTCCATAGCAACCAAGTCCAAAAAATCAAAGCTGCAGCCACTTCATTCCAAGTCCGGTCATTTATTTGTTGAGTGGAATTTCAGCATCCTAAGTCCGGTCCTTGAGATTTGATTGCACAAAATTAAAATTTGCAGCCCACCTGAAATTCGGCTCATTCAAGTTAAAATCCAACTGCAACAGTCCAAAGTTCCTTTGCTTTTCAAAATGGAGCTTCATTGTTTTCAAAAGAAAATGAAAGTCCGGCCCATTTCATTTAAAGTCCAAGTCCATTTTATTTAAAGTCAATTTGAGGGTTTATCCTTGATGGGCTTTGCTCTTTGGGCTTCAATCATTTTCCTCTTTTAAGCTTTTGCTTCTGGTGTTGAGAGTGGGATTTTTGGGATTTATTCTTCATTAACCTGCAATTAAAGATAAAAGCAGTTATTAGTGTTATATATATTCATATAAAATAGATAATGAGGGTATACAATTGTAATAAATTGTGATTATCAAATACCCTCACACCTAAACTTTTGCTAGTCCTCTAGCAAAGAAAATAAAAAGAAAATCCTAACTCACTTTCGTAGGAATCGCGATTGTATTTAGCGCATACAACAAGCCTTTAAACCCCTAGGTTACCCTAGTGGACGAGTTGTAGTCTCGTGAGGGTTTGTAGTGAATATACCTACAAAATTCGGTCAACTTGCCAAGTTAAATAAGTCAGTAAATAACAAATTTTCCTTGATAACTTTTAGATAATCTAATTGGAGCCAGTTATCACTCAAGAAAATATTTTTATATATAACTCTAAGCACTACCACAAAATAGGTCTACGAGGAAAGTTCGTTGGGGACGGTTTAAAACCGTCTCCTTAGCTATCTAAGGAAACGGTTTTGTGACGGTTCCACCCGTCACAATAGAGTCTAAGACAACGCTTTAAATTAAAACGTTGGGGTTGAATTAATTTTGCTAAAAAATTGTGTAATGGGTTAAAGGGACGGTACCCAAATTTTCATTTTTGTTTTTGAGAACGAGTGCCACACTTTCCCCCTATCAAAACAAATCACCGCTCTAGTGTTTTCTCTCGACGGAACAAAGCCCACCGCCTCTCCTTCACTCACGTTCGTCCTCGACGATCTCCACCTCGCGTTTCCCTCCTCCCCTTGTTCACTCTCCGCTTGTTCGCCGACCATCCCAACCTCGTCAGCCACCGCTCCTCAATCCGTCGGATTCCACCGCCTCCCCTCACGACCTCCCCGTCTTCGAGGACCGTCGCCGAGACCTCCACACGACTCAGAAAAAAAGGTATCAATCTCATTTCCTCCTTCTATTTCCCTTGTATATTCTTTGCTCAGTTGTTGCATTTCTTTACTTCGATTTTGAGTATATTTAGCAATTAAGCCTCTATATTGAGCGTTTTTAGCAATTTTCTAGGGTTTTTGCGATGAATCCCTTTGATTTTCTTGATTATATGTCGCAGCGTATGAATTTAGAGACATCTTGAACCCTAGTTTTGGAATATCCTGCATTTAGTGTAATTTTTTGATAAAATTGTTTAGTTAATTGTTGCAATGTCTAATTTCCCCCTAAATTTGAGTAGTTGCTGGTGTTTGGTGGTTGTTAGGTGAGGATTGAAGAAGAGTTCACTGGATTGTACATGTTATTCTGTTCAAAATGATAGATATTTTGTCACTGAGAGCCCTAGCATCAGTAATTTGGGGCAAATATTGGGGGGGGGGTGGACTTTATATCAGCATTCATTTTCTCATACGTTGATGGTCTTCATTGTTGTCCTCCTAACCTCCACCTTCTCTCCCCCTCTTTCCCCTCCCTGCACCGCTTCATCCAATTTGACTTGATAGAATGGATTACAGAATGAAAAGCTGAACCCTGAATCAATGCTTTTTTGCTCTATATATTTGTAGAGAATATGTTCACTGCTTAAACCATATTAAAAAAAATATTGACTGTAAAAACAAACCGCAGAACATAATGTAGAACCTGCTATGATGCCAGATTGGTGTGTTCTTGATTTCACAAGAAGATATAAATCCAGTACCAGAGTAATGCGAACAGAACAAGCCGATCATAAAGTAATCAATGGAAGTACATTTGAGTCATAATGTGACAGGATCAATGTAAAAAAAGTCCAACAATTGTGCAAACTGTCCATTGACAATACATCGATAACAAGCAATGATGAACCTATATCTCGAGGGCTAGTGCAAATTCATCTAACAATGCTACATGATTCATCCAGGAACCAATATTACAAGAATTGAGGATGGACAGCTTTTTTAGAATATACTCGCAATTGCATATCAAGTAAAGAGACACTGAGAGACATTTTGATGTGAACAGTAAGTAAACAAATGACCCCCTTTTTTTCATTTTTCAGCTTTGCCAAATAAATAAATAAATAAAAAAAAATAAAAAAAAAATACTCTGTCATTGTGCAGAAACAACATTAGGCATGAATCTCAGCAGCACACTATAGTCTCAATTCAGTTCAGCAAGCATTCACCTTGAAACTAAATACTCTTTTAAGCGTTTTTATTGATGATTGCCCTCTTGAATTCAGTAAATTACAACCTCATGAGACTGGTGTCAATATTGGTGGGTTTCTTTCTTTACTTGTTCAAAGTGTAAAGGTGCAAACATCTCACACCAAAGTTAATAGTGCAAACAAATATTGATGGTTGGATGAATGCCTTATTAGACATTAATCTTTGATAAATATGGATATCATCCAATTGAAATGTGTGTATACATAATAATTTGCAGTAGCCAGTAAGAGAGCGTTGCAAAACAGGCTGGTTGGCCTCGGGATTTTGATAGAGAGTCAGCATCGAGCATCAAACGTAGTCACTAAGACGATGTTGTTGACTGTTGGTGGTCAGAAGAAGAGCTTACTGGAGGGGGGATTTTTGAAATTTTGCTTCTTGTGCAGGTGGGAGCTTAGCCTAGACAAGGATGTGTACATGTACAGGTACACACTAATTAGCTTTTAATTAAACTTCAGAACTTTATTAATCAAATAACTGACTGTGTACACACGTTTCTCAAGTTTTTATCCGATTATTTTGTTAATTTAGTGCCAATTAAAGACCCTTTTTTCCAGATTCGTGTAATTCTTGTTTGTTTTCAGGTTTTGCTGAAAAATATAGCAAAAAACATTATACCATAACCATGTTTCCATAAGTTATGTATGGGTTCTTGTTTGTCTAATATATTGTTTGTTAACAAACTCAAATTATAAGTTATCTTTATTTTTTTATTTTTCCATGTTTTCTCAAGAGAACCAATATATTTCCTTTCGTCAAGTTATCCTCCAGAATCTCACTCCATCTAGTTATAAAAAGCTATGAAAGATTCCATGTTAAATTAACTTGATCAAATCATGAGAAGAAAACATTTAGATTAGCATTTCAGCTCCTTGATGTTTTTATTTATTTTTTTCTGAAATCGTTATTATTATTATCAATGTGTAGAGGGGACCAAGGATTTTGTAGCATGGAGTGTCGGTGCCAACAAATTTTGTGCAAAAGGGTTGGCTACTCAGAGAAGTTAATGACGATGCTGGTTGGCTAGGTGCTTGGATTGAAGCAAATGTTAGGTGGTTGCGTGAACTTGTAGCTATCTTCTTGCCTTTGGATTTTTCACTGAACAAAAACATTTTGTCTACCTGCCATCAATATAAATAGGTGATCAATCTAGTGATAATCTTCAGAACAAACAAGTGCAATTTGTTGCAAGCTCCGTTGTTCTTTTATACCAATTTCTTTTAGCTCTTTTCGTTCGACTTGATTGTTCTAACATATTTACTGTTTGCACAAAACTTGCAGACCTGTGTTCTTAAAGTGCACATTCACTGTGATGGATGCAAGCAAAAAGTCAAGAAACTGCTCCAGAAGATTAATGGTGCGTCCTATCAAATCAGCACATAAAGTACCTTTACAATTTAGATATGTGGAATACAAGCATTAAATAGAGAAAATAGGAAAACACAACCAAAATAATCTCAAGATAATAATAGGAGGAGGGTTGCACTTGGGGCTTGACTAATTTGGCTCATGAAGAAAGATTAAAATATATATATATATTTTGTCATCGTATAATTCTTTTCCGAAAAAAAGAAGGAAAAACAGAAGGCGAGACAAATTTATACCTCCAGTACATGTATATGTATAATTTATATCTAGCTAGCTACGAATCTGGGAAGAACAATCTGAATTAATTGTACATTACAAAGTGGTGACAATATACAATAGTTTTATAATTATCGATGTAACTCAAGCGATGTAATGCTGACAATCATATTTTGTGTGACTTGATAAATGATAATTAAGGTCGAGTTAAAAAAACTCATGAGTCCCAAGCTTGAATTAATATTGGTGCAAATTAAATATAAGGTTTCAGTCACTATATATCTTGTTCTTTTTAACTTTCTTTTCCCTCTAGTGTAAGTAGACCGATAATGGTTTTCAAAAACATCAAATTTAACTTGCTGCCTCCGTTTAACTTCATCGCATTGAACTTTCGAGAAGCAAGGATGAACCATCCAAAGGGGTTTACAGTTGATGACAATGGAAACATTTATATTGCTGACACCTCTAACATGGCCATCAGGAAAATCAGTGACACAGGTAAATCGAGTATTTAATATTGAAAAAGAAATTTTTTGGATTAATTTTCTGCACAAAATAAAATTAGCATATCTTGGTTTTAGGGGGTCCTAATAGCTTACTTGTAATAGACATATACTATGCGCAATTTCTGACAATGAAAGTTTTGTGTCACATCCTACCTAAATAACTCATATGTGATCAGTTTACAACCATTGGCAGGGGAGTTGATATTTATATTTAAGATATTACTCGAGTAATTTATTGCAATAGTATGTCCATAGAGCTCAAAAACTCCAGTTAGCATACAAGTAATTTGTTGGCAAATACATTGATGAATGGGGAGAGAACAAAGTAATAACACTTCAAGCAACAAATGCAGATATTTGTAAAATCAAAGTCCGATCTATAATTGGCTTTTTTATGTAGGATTTTCAACAATCGCAGGAGGGAAGTGGAACATAGGAGGGCATATTGAGGAGGGCATATCAAAGTCCTATTATAATTTTTCATTTTAAGTTTCTCAAATCTATATCTATGTTCACCTAGGAGTTCGTCACACCTACTGAAAAAAGGAGCTTTTTCTTTGCTGCAAGCATCACCAAGTGGTTTCGTCACTTAGTTTCCGTTTTCTCAAAGAACTAAATTGGGTGCCTACGGGTGTCTGTTGTACATTGCATATATTACCCACTACATGGTAAAAACATTGTGTACTAAAATAATAGCAAATCTGAGTTTTAGTTATATTTTGCCATAATAAAAAAAGTCTAAAACGTTGAAAACTGGATGAACTGCTAAATTCTTAGCTGTTATACCATGTTTAAAACTTTGTTCAAACTAACAGTGTACTGAAAGCATCCCTTTTGAAACAGGCCAGTTATTTAAGTTGAAGAGCATTGTCTAGCCAAACAACCAACATTCCTAAATCCTGATCACCAGTTAAGCCACATTAATTATTTCAGAGAAGCTCGTACCAGAACTTCTTGAATGTTGAACTGATAGAGCATTTCAAATATTTGTTTAAATGGATATTATGTGTCGGTTTTTGGTTTATTAAAATTTTCTATATGGTGAATGAACCTTAACCGATAAGAGCATTTCAGATCTTTGAAGACACATCATAAATATTAACTAAATGATACACAATTCTGATTCAAAGAGTGGATTTTCCACTATGTACCTATCTGCAATGTAGAGTATCCAAGTTCATCGGCAAAGAGTTAATTGGAGAAGACTTTGAAGTCATAAAGTCAAATAGGGTTTTGATGTATGATTACAGCAAGAAAGCATATGTAGTTGGTCATTTAAAATTTTAAATCATATAATCAAGTGATTGAATCTTGCAATGAATATAATCTCATTTTTACCTTTTTATCTAAATTCATGCAGGAAAATTGATGGTCGCTGAAACAAGTGAATCCATGGGTGCTTTTCACTTACAACGAGATTAACTCTATCGAGACAATTTACAAATTATGTATAGCAATGAAGACCTTTAAACAGAAGACATTTTTTGTTTTAATGAAAGAGGAATTTTAGTCATGTACTTTGGACAAAAGAAAAAACTTGTACTAAAGTCATTGTAATGAACCAATGAATTGTTCCTTATGTTTGGTTGTTAATTTGCTTGCAAAATTTGGAGTTTTATTTCTTTGTTTGTGGAATGAGCAGGTATAAATCATGGAGTTTTTATTTTGTTTTGTTCTTTTTTAATTTTGAAACAGCAGGTCAAAAAATGTGTGATATATTTGGATGATTTGGTAGTGACTATTGTTTCTTTGTATGTGATGGACTGATGTGTGATATTTGGGTGATTTATTTTGATCAGTAAAAAATAAAAACTGTCCCCTTTGGTATAAAAACCGTCCCCATAGATCACAAACAAAACCGTTCCCATAGACAATATAACCGTCCTCTTAGGTCAAGTTTGAAACTGTCCCCCTTGGTATAAAAACCGTCCCCATAGATAACAAAAAAAATCGTTCCCATAGACAATATCACCGTCCTCTTAGGTCAAGCTCAAAACCGTCCCCATAGATAAACCGTCCCCAAATGTTACAAACGGGGACAATTCAAGAACCGCGCTACTTGAATCATGAACTGTCACGTTAGACCAAGCACTACGGCGACAAAGGTATCGGATGAGTAACCGTTCCCTTAGGCCTATGGAGACGGTTATGTTGTCTAATGGGACGGTTATAAACCGTCCCCGTAGACCCATTTTTTGGTAGTGATTCTTTTAGTGTTTTAAAATGAGTTCTCAAAATCTTTATATTTTGAATTAATCCCTCAAATTTCTTAAATATTTTGGTATTAGTCCTTCTAGTTACTATTCACAGAAATCCCCAATAAGATTTAGATTGTGTTAACCATCAATAAATTTTGTCAGAAAATCCTAATAATCATTGTCTGTTATTTGCATATTTTCTTAAGTGCTTGTGTGTAATTTTTAGAGTTTCTAGTAGGTTATTTGTTTGGATTTTCTTCAGGATTATTTAGAATTTTAAAATTCCTCAGAAGTTTATTTATAATTTTCAAATTTTAAGGTCTTTTTAGTAAATTTTAGATTATTAAGTGGGTTGTTTGCAATCGTGGAATTTTTCAAAGGGTTGTTTGCTATTTTTTAGATTATTACCAGTTTGTTTATAGTGTTCATAGTTTTATGAGAATCTTTGTCATTTTCAAAATTTAGGGCTCTATTAGAATTTTTTATTTTTTAAAGTTTTTTTTTGGAAATTCGGGTTTAATGGGAAATGCTTGTAATTTTTGGAATCTTCAAGGAGTAGTTGGTAATATATATCTGAGTTTCTTAAGTATTTTCTTGCAATTTAAAAATGTTCGGTGTTTTTTTGCAATTTCAAGTTTGTAGGATTTGTTTGTAATTTCTTGGATCCATTTCAATTTACATTTTTAACTTATCAAATTTGAAGCATATTTGAAATTTGTAGGATCCATTTACAATCTCATGCTTTAAATAAAAGTATATTTAAATTTGTAGGATCCATTTCAATTTTTATTATATTTAAATTAAATCTAACATTTTATACATTTAATACTCTTATGTTTTTAGTGACGCTTTGATACCATAAAGCTTACACATTTTTTCAAATTTGATAAGTTAAAGTTTTTTCCTAACACTTTGATATGACAAATTTTGTTTTTAGCAATTAAATATTACACAAAGTTTGGGCATCAAAGTAGAAAATGCAAACTTTAAGGTACCAAAGTTAAAATTTTCAAAAACATTAGGATATAGAAGATAAAAATTGGGTAAATTTTGGGATACCAAATTGTCAGCTAAAAAACTTTTTGGGTATTCAAGTTAAAACAGGTGAACGTTAGGGTATCAAAGTGTCAAAAGAATAATGTGGTATTAAAGTTAAAAATTTGTCAACTTTAGAGTGTCAACTTCAAATAAGCCTCCCAAAAATAGTGGTTGGGTATTTTGATCATTGATAGACCAAATTGCAAGACCTTTATGCCTCGTTTGGTACGCGGGAAAAAAGTCAAGTGAGAATGAAAAAAAAGGTAGGAATGGAATGGAATAAATGTGGGAATGGAATGCACATTCTCATTCTTATATTTGGGCGTGTTTAGAGAATAAAACGAGAATGACAATCTTATTCTCATTCTCATGTTTAGTATCATTTGTTCACAAATGAGAATAAAATTTAGTTTTCTAATAATGCCCTTACAAAAACATAGAATTTTTAAAACATAAAAATATTTTAAAAATAACTAAATAATTTATTTTTTTTAGAAAAATAAGTTTTATAGAAATAGTATTTTTTTTCTTATAAAAATTGATTAGGATTAGAAACATGTTAACCTAAAAAGTTTGAAGGAATAGAAAACATGTTTCCTCTAAGTAAAACATAAAGTTTCAATCTCATCAATAAAGCACATTATTTCTTGTTGTGAGTGCTTGAAAAAATTACTGAAAAGATTAGGCATATATGCTTCAATGGAACTTCAAATCATACATCCCAAGATAAAATATTTACTAACCTACTTGCCAACAGATTACGCAATCGAGTTGCCAAAAGATAAAAAAGTTACTGTAAAGATTAGTAAAGATTAGGTGAAGATAGCCACACATACATATTTAAAAATAATAATAATGGTTACGAGTCGTGTCGAGTCGAAAACGAGAAATTTTTTTTCCACTGCAGACGCGATGGAACTAGGGTAAAGTCGAACAAATAATAGTATAATATTTTACATCTATTTGTATATTTGTACGTGCAACTAATGATATTATTTCTATAGAAATAACTTTTTATATGAGAATTTATATCTATTCTTATCTTTTATGGAGGGTATAATCGAAAATTATTTGATTGTTTTATTCACACTTAAGTGAAAATATCAATTCCTTGTTAAATGGTTGGGAATGACAATTCTCACATAAAGTGGGAATTGATAAGAAGTGTGTATAGCAATCCTAACGTCTAAAAACACATCGTGTTTTATATGCATGAATAAAAAGCTAGAATTGTATTCCATTCCCACTCATTCCTACATACCAAACGAGACGTTAGGGTTTGAGGGCCCTAAGAAACAATTGCAATATTTGAAAAACTAGTGTGCAATTATTGAAGATTTTAAGGAGCAATATGTAAAGAATCAATATTTTTAAATAAGTTTGTTTTATTAGAATCAATATTTTTAAATAAGTTTGTTTTATTTTTCTTAACAATTGCGGGAAAAAAAGGGGACGGAAAAGATAGCACCGAAGGATTGAGAGATGGAAAACTGAATTAGGTTAATCAATTAACGTGATATGAATCACATGCTTAAAGACGCGGCTTCTCATTTGAATTTTAAAAGTAAAAGTTTGTACTAAACAGTCAATCTTTTTTTAACAAAACAAACAAAAAAAAAGGAAAAATCCAAGTTAAATATAGAAAGGACACATTGCAAAGATAGGAATACCATGTGGCAGTATATAAGGATTTTGAGCCTCACTATCAATTTCTCTTTAAGGTGACACTAGGGGCACACCCCCAACCACATCCCAAACCACACCCTTTTCTCATATGCTACAGTACACCGGGCCCCACATGAGATTTTAAAATTTTAAAATCTCATGTGAGGTCCGATGTACCGTAGCATATGAGAGAGGGGGTGATTTGGGATGTGGTTGGGGTGTGCCCCTATAATTTTCCTTCTCTTTATTATATAGATAGACAAGTACTAATGTAGAATGTTGAAATATTTTTAAAATCCATGTCTTACACTGGGAAGATTAGGTGTCGAATTCCGAAAAAATTCTCGTGCCATCTCCTCGCCCTTCAGATGTTTGATCACAACACGATCGTACGACGGTTTGTGCACCAAAAAATCCACACCGTGCATCTTTGCTCTACACGTACTAGTCCATGCTCGGACAAATTGCAACAATCCTTTGCCATCGACCGCTGCATGATGAACGGAGTATCCAACTGCTATTCCACCACATTTGAATCTTGTCACCTATACATATGTAAATTAAGGGAAAAAAATGAAAGAAAACATAATAATTAATAACTTCATAAGAATATAAACTTTCTATTAAATCAAATATGTAAATGATTCACGGACATCTTAGCGACTCCTTAATTTGATATTAGTCCCTTGAATCATCAGTAGTCTTATATTAGCCACCAAATCACCTTAGTATATCGATACTAGTCCTTATGCCACATTAATTATTAAAACCCTAATCAATGGCTGTATTTAGACTAACCATGGATGGTTAGTTACCTTGTTACCCCTTCCCCCTCTATCACCTCCTCCATCACATCCATCTCCTTCATCATCATCCCTTCCTCTGTCTATATTCTAACCTCCCACTAGTAAAAAACAGGCCTGTCCAAACGGTTATTGAAACCGTTTGGACAAGTCGAAATAGTCCAAACGGTTTAAACCGTTTAGACTAATTATCCCAAACGGTTAAAACCATTTGGACTATTCAAAATTTCTAAACGGAGCTCTCAATCGGTTTAAACCGTTTGGGATATTTTAGCCCAAACGGTGGAAACGGTTTTGGAGTTATGGTAGGTTTTTTAAAAAAAATTTGCAATCGTTTCCCTGACCCGCTCGTTCCCCCCTAAAATTTTCACCCAGCACCGCCAAAAATTTCATCCCCAAATTCACAACACCCTCTCAAATCCGCCTCCACCTCCCTCATCTACCCCCTCATCTTCGCCTCCGCCTCATCTTCGCCGGCCAACGCACCTCCGCTTCATCTTCGCCGTTGTTCTCGATTGTCCACCGCCTCCTCCAGCGCCTCCATCTATTCCACCGCATCGCTAGTCTTCGCCAATTCGTAGATTCGGATCGTGCTGCTCCTCCGCCGCCTCCTCCACCACACAATCTCTCTCTTTAGTAAAGATCAAATTCCACTATCCCTTCATTTCTCTCTCACTAATCGCATAAATAAACATCCAGTCCCAAAAAGAGAGGGGAAAACAAAAAAACCTCTTAAAAATGTTAGGGCTCAGTCTAGTCCAAGGCAATCTCTTGAAGAAAGTCCTCGAATCCATCAAGGATCTCGTCACCGACGCGAACTTTGACTGCTGCTCCACCGGATTCTCCCTCCAGGCAATGGATTCCAGCCACATGGCGCTCGTCGCCCTCCTCCTCCGATCCGAGGGTTTAAAGCACTACTGCTGCGATCGTAACATTTCGATGGGATGAACCTTAACAACATGGCCAAGATGCTGAAGTGCACCGGGAATGATGATATCATCACTATTAAGGTTGATGATGGGAGTGATTCTGTTACCTTCATGTTCTAAAGCTCAAGTAAGAGATTTATTCATATTTGGATTATTTTTTGAAATTTTTTTATATTTTATTTTAGGGCGTTCGTTTGTTCTGTTTTGTGAACCGTGAGATTTTCGGGGAAAGCCATTAATTTGTTCATCTTTGTATCGGACGGATCTAGGAATTTTTTTTTGTTCATTATAAAACATGAAATTGAATAAAGTTCCAGAATTTTAATTGAGTTACATGCATAGTTAGTTCTGTTGATTCATTCTTAGATCTAGTATTCTAAATAATTTTGTTTCTTTTATATTCTTAAAATAGCAAGTGACACCGATTGATATCTAATCTAGGTGTTTTGGCATATGTACATCTAATTTATAGTTTTTCATGATTATGTTCATGTGTGACTTATAGTCCTTAATGCTTACACTCTTATATTTGTTGTACATACGGGATTTAATAGATCAAGATATGATCTCTGATTTTGAAATGAAGCTCATACATT